CATTTCTTAAGAAATCTATACAAAATAGGACCGTTTATTACGATGTCCTAAACTGTCTGGACTTGGTAGTACGATGTAAAAATTCTTTTCAAAAAATTTTTCACTCTGTGTTTATTCAGTGCTGATCGACGATAGACACTAAAGGAGACGCTAAATAAACATTGAAACACCTGTGCTCTGACAGTGTTAACTTACAGGCTGTTAGGTGATTAGTGACGCTTGACTGCTCACACCTTGACTGTTCTAGCAAGGTCAGCAGAACTGGAAACATCATGTCAAAGCCTTTGTTAAACAATTAAACTTGTCTGTTTATTTATAAATGTAGTCTCTAGTTTATCTATCTCTGTAAAGTTTGTTTTATCTTTTATACTTCGGTTAATAAATAAAATTGTTATACCTCTACTGAATTTTCCCTATATAACATTAGATCGTTAGATGTGACTAATTCCCTAGAAATCGTTATGAAGGGACTAACCCTGTGCGTTAGTCAAGTGAGCTAATCCCTGCATCAAAAGCTAATTCCCGGTTATCCGTAATCCTCTAGATTTTACTTTTACATTGGTATGATACGTGAATGGACTAATCCCTGTGTGTTCGTTCAGTGAGCTAATCCCTGCTATGAAATCACGCTATCTGAATCTTCTAAATTTTACATTTGTATCGGTATAATAAAACAGTTAAAAGTATGTCATTGAGGGAGTTAGCAAGATTCCAGTTCCCCTCGACCAGGACTATTTCCCTCGGCTTTGCCTCAAGAAATAGTCCTGGCCTTGGGGAACTGGAATCTTGCTAACTCCCTCAATGATATACATTAACTGTATATTAATTTATTAAATAAAAGGTTACATATAATCCTGTGCATGTATGTTAAACACTTACTGTGTAATTTCATTTGCAGTTAAACTACGGTAATGGACAGCTTGGGTATCAAACATAATTGGGCCAAATATGAACTTCACTTATGTTTTAACAGCCTGGATTAACCTGCAGGTGTCAGCAGAAATTCAAATCGATAATTGCTGAACTGCTAATTGAACTCTGTTCAGTAATTTAAAAAATCAAATTTATTTTGACATATAGCTTGTGTGTTGTCAAATTCCGTACATTAATTAAAATAAAAAAATGTTGTTGTTGTTTATGTAGTAACGACTATGAACTGAATATGAAGACGGCTTATTGAAATTTTTATGAACGCATTATCTAGAGAGTCAGAAACGAAAGTAAAAGTGAAAGGAAATGGCAGTAGATAAATGATCGCCGAAGTTTTTATAAAAAATATGCATATTTCTTTTAAAATGAAGGAAATAGAAGAAATATCATCATGAAGATATCTATTCAAGATAAGTTGTTAATAAATTATATATGTGTATAGCTTTTTAATTAAGAATTTGAACAGAAGAAGGGAACAAAAGGGCAAAAATACACCTCCCATAAAAATAACAAGCTTTCAAAATGATGTTTTAATTAATGGATTTTATTGGTGACCTTTATTACATTGCCCTCGGTATTACAATATTTTCCTGTGACAAAATGAACATCATAATAACGAGACCGCACTGTACAATATTTTTTGTCAACATACTCCAATATACCAGAATATCGATGTAATTGCCAAGCCCTAATAATACTGTTGTTGTATGATGTACACAATGAATGCTGCAAATGACTTATTAGCTCACCTATACCAAATACTCAAGTGAGCTTTTCTGATCAGGGGTCGAAATTAACGGGAAATACTTGCTAAAAGCGAATTAAAAACAGAAATTGCGAGTTAAAAGAGACTTGTGGTCGCCAACTTTTGAAAGTAAGAAAAAAATGGTCTTTTTCGGATTTTTTTCCCCGGTTTATTCCATGGATGTGCTATTAGCATTGCCTCACAATCGGGGCTACCATTTTTGGGGGTCGGACTAGTGATTTTAAGCACAGAGGTAGCCTCTCGGGCTAGTTAAAGTTAAAATTACCCATGTAATACAATGTACATGAAAAGCACTACAGGTATTTCTATTGTGACTTTTTTGGCTGTTAAATCCCCAAACAATGAAAAATATTCAGGTAGCATGCTCCTATAGTTCGTTAATCTCCGTAATTTTATCCATTTTGCAGTACTACCTGACTTATTTACTTCCATAAACGATCATTTTTTCCTAATCCGAATTTCCTCCGTTTCTTTGTTATGGTAAATACATGCATGTAGATTTCTCATTTAATTATTTACGATCACTTAATCAACTAGAGGAAAAGTGTTATGTGATTTTCAAAAAAATGTATTTCCAGTGTATTTGATGATTTCAGATGAAAAAAAAGACAGATTTTTTGCTTCATTTTAAATGAACTAGTGCAATGACCAAAAAAGGAAGATAATTTATTTTTAAAATCATTTTTTTTTTAAATTTTCAATCATAATTATTGATTTGTATATGATTCAATTTTTCTAGTGATAATTAAACTTAATTTTAAAAAGAATGATCTTTAATAATACCCTGACTTTTTCCATGATAAAATATATTTTTTCTTTCATTGTTAGTTGTTACTTTTTTCCCCTACGTTTGAGCTACATGTAATAACTTTTTACTTGGAGCTAGTGATTTTATTGCTGCAGCTAGTCTGTGGGCAAGTGCTTCAATCTTTTTAATTGCAAACCCCTGTATTTGTTCAGATTTCATCTTGTTTAAAACAACCTAAATTAACAAACAAATTGTAAATTAGTTTTCTATGAAACTATTCAAATAATTCCTATGTTAATTATTATGTGAAGAAAAAAATGCTAGTGAAAGTTTAATATTGCTAGTAAAAAAAATTTCCACTAGCTAAAATTTGCTAGTGGTCAAAAAAGTTAATTTCAATCCCTGCTGATAGAAATTTGTCAGTTGGCTTGTTGTCGTCTTAAGATTTTAACATTTTCATTTTCTTCTCAAGAACCACTGGGTCAATTTCAACCAGTCTTGTCACAAAGTATCCTTGGGTAAAGGTGATTCAAGTTAGTTTAAATAAAGGGCCATGCCTTCTTCCAATGGGAGATAATTACAGATTCATGAAAAATTAATGGCATCATTTAAAAATCTTCTCATCAAGAACCACTATGCTAGAAAATATGAAACTTATGTGGAGGCATCCTCAGGTAGTGTAGATTCAGATTTGTTCAAATCATGACCCCCAGGGGTAGGGTGGGGCCACAATGGTTGATCAAAGTTTTACACAGGAATAAATAGGGAAAATATTTAAAAATCTTCTTCTCAAGAACAGCAAAGCCATGATTGGAAATATATATTTGGAAGGATCCTCAGGTAGTGTAGATTCAAGTTTGTTCAAATCATGACCCCCAGGGGATGGGTTGGGCCACATTGGGGATCAAAGTTTTACAAAGGAATTCATAGTAAAAATCTTTAAACCTCTTCTTCTTAAGAACAGCAAAGCCATGATTGGTCATATTTATATGGAAGCATTCTCAGATAGTGTAGATTCAAATTTGTTCAAATCATGGCTCCCTAGCTAGGAGTACAGAGGGGCCATATCAGGAGATCATAGTTAAACAAAGGAATATAAAGGAAATATCAATAAAAATTTTCTTCTTAAGAACAGCAAAGGCATGATTAGTCATATTAATTCAGAGGCATCCTCAGGTAGTGTAGATTCAACTTTGTTCAAATCATAACCCCCTTTCTTCTTTTTCCTAGCCAAAGTCCTCAGGTTAGCAATGTGGCCCATAGACCTCTTGTTTTTATCACTTTCCATTTGGAGATGGCAGAAGTGATCTTTTATGTGTCCTCCAAAACACAAATAGGAAGTTACTTCTTTTTATCCCCTGGGATTGGAGTTGGAGGGGATATAGTAATGCACTTATGTGTGTGTTTCAGGGTTGGCAAAAAACTGGGAAATACTCATATTTCCCAGGACAGTAGGAAATACTGGTAATTACCGGGAATTACTGGTAATTCCCAGGAAATTCTGGGAAATAAGAAATAGCTGCATATTTCATTCATATTGACATGTAGTACACCTTACTGGCTAAGATATCTACCTGATATCACTGTCCCTGATTTGAAAAATTCTGGTTTCCAAGTAATTCAGTTTATATAATCATAACACATCATACTCATATACCAGTCATGAGTGTCATTTGTTTCATGCTTGAGTCAAATGTCGTCTATAAAAGTCCATGATATGAACCCAAAGATCCCAGTTGGTTTTTTTATGTAACTAATGAAGGATCTAAGAAAATTCTTAAATGTAGAGTATGGTATAAATATCAAACCTAAGAAGAAGCCTTTCAGTTCTACTCAAGGTAATTATCTCTCAAAACAGGAGCACAAAACTCTCCAGAGCAATTTGTTAAAACAACATGATTCTTTGTAACAACTACAGTGTTAATAGAAGGATTAAAACAAGTTTGTTTTTTTTTTGTTCTTGGTTTTATAATTAATAAACTTAATAATCTTTCTAAACTGAAAAGAAACTTGAATTGGAAAACAGCCAGGGAAATGTTTCAGAATGCTTATGGGTAATATGGGACCTGGAGTAGTGATACATTCTGAATATGTTAAATTGCAACTTGAGACATATTCCAAATTATTTATCTTCTGGAATTTTGTATAAGATTGAATGAATTTAAGAAATAAAAAACTTTAACTTTGTATTTCCCAGTATTTCCCAGTTTAGAGAAAATTTGTATATTTCCCGGGACGGGAAATAACAGTATTTACCACTGGTAATTCCCACCACTGGTATTTCCCAGCCAACTCTGGTGTGTTTATTTGTGTGTGTGACAGTTTGACCTTGTGTGAAATAGAAGTGAGATTATTGGCATCAGGATCGATGTCAAATGTTACCTTGATTTATAAATATGCTCTTTTGCAAGGGGATGCCCTGCTTTGCTGTGCCCTTGTTATTTTGTGATGGTCATGATGGGGAAGAATTTTACTTCTGAGTTGAAGCAATCACACAAAATTGAGAATTCCAAAAAAATATGATTGAAAACTTTATATACTTTTCATTTTTTGTAGAATTTATTTGCAAAGTCAACAAAGAAATTGGAAATAGTGTGCCATGGCCATTCTCCAACTTGTGTTCTTTTTTATACTCTATGTAGGAAAGTCTCTTCAAGGAAGAATAGGTAAACATTTGTTAAAAAGAAAGATGTAAATGTAAAATACACTGTACAAAAAAAATTAGTGATGGTAGTAAAGTACAGAATTGTCAATTGGTTATCTGCAAAATGTTCTGACATATTATGGAGAATACTAATGAAATGGATATGTCAATGTAATTTCACTTACGTAATTGTCAATGTTCTCAGTTTTTAAAAACTGAATTTTAAGGAGATTTTGTTTAAGTAAAATATATTTTAATTTTTTTGGAATAACCAATGACAGTTTTTCTAACTAATAACCATCATTTGACAGAGCAACAAGTTACAAATTGCCATCCCAAATAAAAAAAAGATTAAAAAATCAGTTTTTAAGATTGATGATAAAAAATAACATGAAGTATTACAGTATTATTTTCATAACTTACTCCCTAGAACAGTGTTTTGGTTCAGAAAACCTTGTTTTTGTATCTAGTATACAGATGCATTATTTTGAAGATTTTTGTTTTAGTGCCTTCTCCTCCAAGCATTACAGCAGGTCCTAAACCTTACCCTATGAGAAGTTGGAACCCAGAACTTGGAGATCGAGTATATGTGTACCTACCAAAAGAAAAGAATACACGTTTACAATGTGTTGCTAGTGGAAATACTCCAAAATTAAGGTAACTAAAAAATTTACTTGATCACTTTTTATCTTGCTCATTTAAGTCATAGGAGAGAGTACACACAACTTTTCCCCCCAATTATGTCAGAATTGCTGAGCGCAGCCATTACCAGTCATGTGACACATCTGCCATTACAACCGTGAAAACTGAATGCCTCAGTAGTACATGATGACCAAGGTTAAACTGAAAACCACCGATGTTACTTTTTTATGCCCCCGTAATTGAAGATTTGGGGGCATATAGTTTTTGCCCTGTCCGTTTAGAATTGCCAATCTTACCTAAAAACCTAAAGCAAGATTTTTTTGTTAATTTATTTATGATTTATTCTATTTATTACCAAAAAAAAAAAAGATATATCCATGGTTTTGCAACTGCCTCTGGTTACTGAAATATATGGCTATAAAGAGATTCCAATGCATTTTTTCCCACTTAGGAAACTTGGATTCTATGTAAAAACTGGATGTGTATACAACATACTGCTTGTGGTCGAACATTCACTCCATTTGATAAAAAAAAGATAAAAAGTAGATAAATAAATAAAAAAGCTAAAAATTTAATGTTTGAGAAAAAAAAAACAGTGTAAACAAACCTGTAGATAAGAATTATAAATTAAGGATAAAAATATTCCGGTTTATTGGTTTATTTGATTTTAAGGAATATTATACAATAATTTTTGGACTATACGTCGATGGGGTATATAGGTCGAAAGGCTCATTTTTAGCCTTAATTTTTTTTAAATCCTTAAATAGGGCAAATTTGGGACATAGGACGAGGCATTGTTTATTGATTTGCTAGAAATCCTTATGTAGATACTACGTATCAGAACATGCAAACTTCTTATAAACTGATATTGTCGTAGTTATGTGTTAAACACTTTGTGTTTTATATATAAAATGTTTTTTTTGTTGAAACTTTCTTGAATTGTGCTACGTACAACTTGGTTTTCTCCAACTTGCCTGTTCAATGCCGTTGTAGTTTGACGCTGTTGTTAAACAATATCCATAAATATGGTAGTATACAATAGCTATTAATTAGGGAAATACTCCAGACCAAACAATAATTATTTCCATTTTAGAACATCGTGGACACATTCTTAATGTATTTCATTTAGATATTATTTACAATATTCATGGATTCAGCAACATCTATGACCGCCATTTTTGTATTTTCTTGTCTAGGGATTTGCTAAAGCATGCAAACAGTGGCGGATCCAGAAGTCCATGTGGGGGGGGGGGGGGGTTTTGAGGCCCGTAGGGCCAAAGGGGGAAGGCATGGGAGGGGGTGTCCCCGTCCCATAGGTGGGGTTCGTATTTTCAAAATTTTCTTTAAAAATGGCTCCAAATGGTGCATTTTCCAGCATTTAAGATTGAATTAGTTAGTTTATGGCCACTTTTTTTCTAGTTGTTTTTCAAGACCGACCTACCCAAATTTTCAAGAAATTGAACAAAAAATTAAAATTTTGGGATTATTTTCAACTTCCATGTTAACTTGAAAAATGAGACTTTTCTAAAGAAAAAATTAAATGTAAAATCTGATAAAATTAGAAATATCCCCATTTGCTATTTATCCAATTCCTCACTAAGAAAATTCGAATTCTGTGTAGAAACCCTAATTACTCTTTTCAACTACTTGACTATACTGTTCATATAATTTGCAATATAAACAAATAATGATATTTCATATTGAAGAATTAATATAAATTATTTTGGGAAATAATTGGAATTATTGCTTATTCATTGGGGGGGGGGGGGGGGTAATTATAATTTCTAACATAAATGCACTCTTTAATTCTACTTTTTTTTTTTTACCCACTTACCTGCCCAATGTTTGAAAAAAAGTCTTGAAAAACAATCAATGAAAAAGTGGCCAATTCTTGTTTTGACAGGACCTCTAATTTATACGTATCAGTTTTACCACAATTCATTATACAAAGTTGTAACCGTTAGTTGGGTTTTATTCAACGTCATTAAACTGTAATTTAAAAAAAAAATGCAGATCTTTTGCTTTTTAAAATTGCATTGTAACTTCCATCTACAAAAGGAATACTTTCAACGTGCTTTTTGGTACAGGTCACAACGTAAACAACTAGTATACGTCCCTGATGTATTAATTTAATTTTTTTTCTATTAAATAATAATCATAGTTTATTCATGTAGTTCAATAAAGTAACATTCAATTTATCGAAGAAAGAAGAAAATTCTCGAAACAATATTACTTTAGCGATACCAAAACAATTAAACCATAATAACTATGCAGTTTTGGTAGTTAGTGTATGACGTTGTGTCATCACTAACTGCACGGAACTATCATGATCACTGTACAGTACTGTTGATTACCTGTATGGATATTGTGTGCGCTCAAGCGGAAAGGGATTTCGCATGGTGGCTGTATATTTCACCTCTTTGTGTAAAACAATGGGCTTGGGTAGAGTCGCATTTATGCAATATATTGTTAAAATGACACTTGTAAAAAAATTTTTTTTTGATCGGGCGGGGGTTTTTTCCCAACCCCCCCAACCCCCCCTGAATCCGCGGCCACTGGCAAATGACTATTACATGCACTAGTAAGCAAATTGAAATTAATCATATTTTCATGCTATAATTTTGCATGTGATATTGTTATAAAAATAAATTTAATAGAGAGTACATTCGCTATTTAACAGTCATCATGAAATTCACAGCTTTAGTGGTATGCCATGATGTGTAGCACTGAATACCCCTATTTCAGCAAGTGGATATGTTAATCATGCCCCACAGGAGGTTAAACCAACACAGCTGGTGTCAACACCTTTTTGTACACAGTGTATATCCCTTTATTGGTCAGACAATTATAATTCCTACAGAAGCCATCGTTGAATATTTCAGTATACCCTTTGGGTATGAGGAAGTTTCACTTCTATCACTTCAAAAAAAAATATTACAATTTTGTAAAGGTTTCTAAGTCAACCTATTTTAGATTAGCCATAGATGAATTTATAACTTCCAAAAATGTATGCATTTAATAGTAAATTCAAGATAAGCATGTTTTATTAGTTATTAATCTAAAAAAAAATTATGACTAGTGGTATATTTGGTAAATAAATTAAGAAAATTACTGGCAACAATTTATTTTGTGAACGCATTTTACATTTAAAAAAATCACAAAACAATGAAAAAAAATGTTTAGGTAGACTATTTCATTAATTGTTATATACACATAAATGTTAAAAAAGATGACGATTATTTTCCCAATTGCTATTTTGAAAACTATCCATATTTCAAATGTCTATATGCAATATGGTTGCTATTTTATTTTTAGTGAACAGTTGCGACTTCCAACTTCACAAGATGGACACAGAAAGCATGTTGTTAAATATACTTTGATGAGACATATTTACAAGATGATTAAATGAGTTTTGATTTGTACATTGACACATATGTAATGGAACTTAATTTGTAAGACGTCATTGAAATATGTCTTTGATTCTTTATTGTTTATTATTTTTTCTCAGTAAAATAATCAAAAAAGTTTCGAAAGTGCCACAAACTTGCTTTAAAATTGACATTAATTTTATGGTTTTGGAGCATTTTTCGTAATCTTGAGCCTTACAAAGGTTGGTTCCTTAAACAGGTTGACCCCAACGGTTCTGAGAAAAAAAGTATTGACCATTCATCCAAAAATTACGGTAGTTTCAACTTTCTAAAGATTAAATCATCAATGTTAGAGTTTTAAACTTGAGCTTGATTTTTTGCATTGATAAACTTTTGTATCGGCAGTTATGGGCATGGCACATAAAATATAGTTTATTATAATAAACTTAATTATGCAGTTAAATAATAAAATCATTTCCCGTCTTTAAAAAATACTCACAAACAAATAACTAGATGCTGTCATAAGACAGCAATACCCGCACTAATGTGTTTGCCTCTAAATGCAGGCACATAGCATTGGGGGGGGGGGAGGAAGAGGGGGCCTGCCCCCCCCCCCCAACTTTTTTCGAAACATAACTTTTTACTATTGAAAATGTTCATGAAAGGGTGGTTGCCCCCCCCCCCCAACTTTTAGTCAAATAAGGGTAATGTAGTAGTGTATATATAAAATTGGGTACTGAAAGAAGTTGGAACCCACCCCCACCCCACCCCACTAAATAGGACTTTTGAGTTTTGGAAAAAAAAGTTTTATGGCTTGTCAAGTTTTTTCAGGTAAGTTGATATTTTTTTCTCTGGCTCCCCCCCCCCCCCCTGTAATTTAAACAATATTTTATTCACAGATGTAAGAGTGAATAGGATTGGGCAGCAGGCTCAGCCTATTTTAGCCCCCCCCCCCTTTCAAAAACGTTGCTACGTCCCTGAAATGTGCTCTGACTGCTCTCCTTCAAATTCTGGTAACCAGGGAAGAAGCACACATTTAAATCAAGCATAAAATGCTCAGGTGAACATGCAGCCCAAATGGGCCTCTTATGTAAATCAGGTGCAGATCCAGGAATTTTTTCCAGGGGGATCCAACCAAGAAATTTCTTGACAAGCAAAAAAAAAAAAAAAAAAAAAACACTTAAACTCCTCTCCCAAATGTGAAAACCTATTTCATGGTGGTGGTGGGGAAGAGGGGGGTTTGGCCAATCACTTTTTAAGCTTCATATGTATAACTTTTCATACCAACTTAACAGGGGTCCGTGTTTTCTGGGGGGGGGGGTGTGTGTCCAAGGTCACTTTTAGTTGCTTTCGTATATAGGTTCCGGACCCCCCTCCCCCCTCTAGATCCGCACATGTAAATATTTCATTACCAGTCTGATATTACCTAATAATGTAAATTCTGATAAAGAGAGAATTTTTGAAAGATTTGTGTAAAAAAAGGGGGTGGTTAATTTTCTACCCATAATTGGAACTTGTTGAATTTATTGTCAAAACAACAAATATTATTTTAGTGCATAGTTTTTTTGATGAACTTAAAAAAAAATAGATGCCAACTTGTGCAGATTTTTATCAGTATTTGGGTAGGACTCGGAGAACCCCTTTCCA